ATATATAATGTATATATAATATATATATAGCATACTTGCGGCCAGATTCAATCATGATGAGGGTCGCGATTTCTCAAAACGTTCTCTTCTTATTACTTCTGAAGAAGAAAACGACGGAACTGACAGCCGTTTTTCCTGGAATGTTTTTTTTTTTTTTTTTAAAAAAAACAAAATTTCTTTGCACGAGTGTCGCCCGACACAGAATCTCAACGGTAATTGCCGTTTGTATGGTAAGGTTCTTGCAGGCCAAATTCAGTCATGATGAGGGTCGCGATCGCTTAAAACGTTCTCTTCGTATTACTTCTGGAGCGAGGTCCCATTAGCAAAGACGATTGGATTGAACACCTGAATCTGGACTTGCTTGTGGAGAGGTGCAGAATGTTGAGATTGGACTGTTTTTCCGCATCTGTGCTTAAAGCAAGTCCAGATTCAGGATTTTTATCCAACCCTCTTTGCGAATGGGACCATGCTCCTGAAGTAGAAAACGACGGAACTGGCAGTCGTTTTTCCTGGAATCGTTTTTTTTTAATAAAAATAAAAAAACGTAAAGGAAAAACATCTTTGCACGAGTGAAGCCCGACGCGTCCAACCTGTCAGAACCTCAACGGGAATGTTTACCAACGGGCTCGCTGCACTACTCTCGACATGCACAACAAGACATATATGGCAATATATCTTTCCATGTTCAAGTGGAGGATTCAGGCTCATTTGTTCAGAGATTCTCCAAAAAAAAAAAAAAAAGGTTCCAGAGATACGTTACGTGCTTACCTGATTCATCGGCCCTTTGCTCTCCACCACCCAACGAATGAATGAATCTTCCGCCAAAACATGGAAAGATACACCGTCATATTTTTTGTCCTTTGTGCATGTCGCCCCGCTTCCGGATTCATGTTGCCCGTTGATAAGGGCAGTTTCTTCGGTCCGATAGTGTCAGCACACTTTTTCTTCTCTCTCTCTCTCCCTCTCTCTCTCTCTCTCTCTCTTTCTCTCTCTCACACACACACACACACCAATCCCAACGCCCACCCCCCCGACAACCCCAGGAAACGGCCCGCTATGACCACGTACGTGGGCCCTAAATTTACGTATGCGTCACGTATGCGCATACGTGCATACGAGTATGCGCGTATGCGGAACTCGCGTACGTGTACGCCGTGCTACCCAGCTATAAAATAATATAAATCAAGTTTTAACTTAATTGTAAAACCCTTATAAAAAAATATATGTTATGTAAAAGAAGAATTCAAGCAACTTTTCTTTAAAAGACATGTTCAAATTCTTAGGTGATTATTGATATTGGATGATGATGACACACATCATACGTACATAGTGAGCAAAAACAACACATGTACAGGGTTCGAGACCCTTCGAACAGACAACAATTCGAAGAAATCCGAAAGAAATGCATAAGATTGCATATCAGAACACAAACTCCAAGCCCGGTGTATGGCACCCCGACCGGTTTCGACCGCCGCCACGCGGTCTCATCAGGGGGAAACAACATCATCTTCCCTTGTCCATAAACCCGCTCACCACTAACCCTCCTACGTCGGTAGTCCGCGCGATATCCCGCACGTTCGTCGGCGCAGAACCCGGAAAGAGTTATGCCTTAGCAATCTACCTATCTATAGACCTACACAGGAAACACACTTGGCTACCAAAAAGCAAAAAAGCAAAAACAAAAAACCGACCTGCAGACCCAGGCACCCAGTCAGTGCAGGCGTCCGCTATCGTCCTAGCCCAAAATGACCGTAGTCGAATGTTACAAAAAAAACGATTAAACCAATAGCCCGATGGCCTAAGCACAAAAACAAAAAGCCAAGAAAAAACTAACTACGAAAAATGCCGAAAAAAGTAGAAGGACCAAAAAAGCCAGAAGGCCAAAAAAGCCGAAAGGCTCCAAACCAAGTCGAGTCGTCCAGAGCCGCAAAGGCCGAAAGCTGAAAATCAAATGAAACAAAACAACAAAGGACAGACCCACTCGGTCACAAGTCAATCTCTGCTGCTAGCCCCAAGCCTACGGCCAGCCCTGTCCCAACATCCTCCCACCCAGTCACCTGCGCAGGTACTGACCAGCTGTCCCTACAACTGGTCCAAAAAGATACAGACCACAGACCGTAACTTTTAGCAGCATACGCATCTGTCTTGCAGCTACCTAAACATCTGGCCTTCCCTATCCTCAATGAACACTACTTATACAACCACTCCACTGTTGTCGACCAAATCTTGTCCCTACCCACAACGAAATGCCGAATGACGCACTCGACAAACAGTGGTGGGAAATCTTTCATGCGCGACTCCCTGGTCATGTCCAATACCCGCATTGGAATCATCCATCCTCGACTCGTGTTTCAGTCGATGCGGTGCAGTTGGCTAGAAAGCGCTGCACTCTTCTGGAGCTTGCTGCCCCATGAGCGGTACGACTGCCCACTCTTGAATTCCATAATGTCGTTTTCCCAGATAGACTTGACGTTCTTCGTCATCTGGTAACAGCCGACATAAGGTTGGATGGCATCCGCCACCATGAGGGTCCAGTCCCACTCTCCCAATCCATCATCCGTTCGTTTCAGCTGCAGGTTACTAGGATAGCATATCTCGAAAGCGTCCCTAATCTCCTCCGTGCTCATCTTACTACGCCGCCGCTGTACGACGATCAAGCTTACATCGTCCATCAGTCGTAGTCCGAAGACGTCCCGCTGTACATCACCCAGACTCTGCAAAAAAACGAAATTCCGCAAAAGCACACATAATACACGCAAGAGGCGGGCTCGTACATTTTCCCATAGGAATGCCCACCACTTGTCTCAGCAGTACCCCCGTCGCACGTGTGTATGTATGCTTCAGTTCGAAACTTACAAACAGCTTCAGGTCCTGCAGTATCAGCTGCCGCCAATGGTCATCCCCTGTTGTCCGGCCAAAAGAACTACCCTTACCCCTTGTGTTCACTCGAATAGAGTTTCTTCCCTTACTAACGTGATAGTCGGTGATCCAATCAACTGCTTCGATGATATCAATGTGCGGCAGCTTCGAAAATATGTCCTTGATGTCGTAAGACATCATGACCGGTTGCTGTTTCCCTTTAATCCTCCTCCCAATCTTCTTCTCGGCACCAAATCAAACACCGACTTCAAATTAAAGTGCCATCCACCTGGAAGAGTAAGAAGCAGATGATTCAAGGCCTTGGCCACAGCCCTACAGGTCCTGACTGTAGGTTCCTTGTACGTTGGACAAATCGGCTTGAACCTTGTCAGGTCCTTCTGCTTGGGCATCGCGTAAGCCTCACCGAAGATGCCTTTCTTATCCCAACGTACGAATGACAACAAGCCCGCCTCCTTTGCTTCCTCTCGCATGCGACTCTTCACCTCCTCTTCTTTCGACCTCTCCACTACGTAACCCGGACTGCTAACGAAAAGTTCCATCAGCGCGTCGAAGTCGATCTTAGGACATAACACCAGCGTTTTCCCTGGATTCCTATCCAATGGGGTTAGAACCAGACCATTAAGACGATCCTTAATCGCCTTCACCTGCTTAACATCGATGAACCTTGTACTCACTTCCTCAGTTGCAGTCATGCACCTTGCCACTTCACCTTCGCTGAAGGTCGGCGCCAGTCCCCGGAAATTCGCCCAACCTCGGATCCCGTCAGCCATCTCCTCACTCAGCATCCTTCCTCGGTTCGGATGTGTATGCCTTGGTACATTATTAGCATTAAAGACAAGAGGATCCGTGTACTCCAGCTCCTGCAATCGAAATCACACGTGTTCTCCCACCCTAGGGTAGGGAAGCCCTGCACAAGTGCAGGTGAGCACTTCAGCCTTCGCAAAAGAACGCTGATTGTGCAACAAACAAGCAATCGAAGGGTTCTTCACCCAAACAATCTGGATGTTATTACGTGCAAGATTCCTCATGGAGGTTGGGATCTTCAGCTCCCCAATCTTATCATTAAGCACCTTACGCACTTCCACAATCTTGATACGGTCGTCGAATTTCAACCTCACAATTACTCTGGCGTTAAGACACCACCCGTAGACATCTTTCACGACGCGTCCGATAAGTCTTCGTAAGAATGAGGTAGTACTTGCTTTTTGAAAATCAGCCGCCACGCCATTCAGACGAATCTAGACTTCCAGCGAACACTTCAACACTCCAATTCAATCTGGAAAACGCAAGATCGATATATCAGGAATTTCTTATCTGGTCCACACTTCGGTTTCCATCGTCTCAACTACCTAAACTCCACGATTCCTCCCTGCTCCATCCATGATTTACACGTCCTTAGTTTACAACACGTACCTTTGCGTCGTACCACCGAATCACCGAACGAGTTACGCACAAATTTACATCCTCCGCACCATATATTCCCCCTTTCCATATGTAACGTAAAACTCCTTGTACTGGCCGCTTCCATATCCGAGAGAAGTCGGTAAATATCCATACTGTACACACCATCGTCCTCGACACTAGCCCGAACAGGGTTAATGGCAACTCGTAGTTTTCGAGGTCCCTCTCCCCGTATCCGGTTTCGTTCCTTACGTCCTTTTCTCCCATCGCTCTTTACTCCCTTGGGTCGTGAAATACCCGCTGTATTCAAAGTTGGAGACCAACGCCGTATATAAACGCGTTCCAACAGTGGAAGCTCACGCACTATACAACGGTCGACGGGTATCAGAACGTAGAATTCGATGCCAAAGGACCGCCACCATCTATACACGTGATTAGACTTGATAGCTCGCTTATAGACGGACACATGTTCACACCAACGAACACGACTACCTCTACTCGTTTGTCCGACATATTGCGCCTTACACATCGGCGATGTCAAGATGTACACACATCCACCCTCCTCCGTAAACACTCTGATACCATACTTCACGTAGAGAGCAACCCACGATTCCGTACATTTCCCCATCCATCGGATTTCTCCTTCTAAAGCCAGCAAGATGATGACCATGCGGTACAGTTTTTCCACGTCCACATCCGAAATGTTACCTTTACGAAATTCGATCAGCCGATTACATAGCGTTCATAACTCACGAATATTTGATGCATTGTGGCTTTCATCGCTGCCTGCGGCTTGCTGCGTTTCCACTGCCACCTGCTCCTCGGTTCCGCCTAACCGTTCTTCCTCTTTGTACGCCATCTGGGTACGTTTGTCGGTCAGTGTTAGAAGAATCTGCATCTTCCTGCACTCAGCTCCCAACTGTACGTCTTCCTGCGCGCACAATCGCTTGAGTTCCTCGACATTCATTTTTCCCAGCTTACGCAGGTTGTCCGTCACGAATTTAAGCTTCCCGCTAGATCTCGGTGCTGCCGGAATCTTTTCCTTGGTCGTGGCACACCGCCGCGGAGTATGCCCAACAGGCGATCGCTTCATGGGAGGATGCGTCACGCTCAAGTGTAAACGTCGCTTCGTCGTCCTTTTCGCCGGTGTCTCCATGGGGGGACTATCCCCGAGAGGCATGTCCTCCCCTCGCGTCCTTTTCTTGGAAATGCCGAGCTGCTCCGTTTGGTTGCTTAAAGCTTCTATCTCACTTTCGTACGAACCGTACGATTCTTCGTCCGATGATCGTTCCTCGATCTTTTGTTTGCCTTTTGCTTTCGGAGGAGTTTTGGTAGACTGTTGTCCCCCTCGCTCACGTAAGAACATCAGTTCTTCACGTAGACCCCCCATATGCATAGACACTTCCATGCGCATATTCTTCTTCAACGGCTCCCGATCTTCCGCAATCTGCCTCAATTTCACTTCCTTACGTTTCTTTCGTCGTTCAGCCGCTTCACGAGCTTGTTCCTCCTCACGTCTTGCCTCTTCTTCCCGTCGCTTTTGCTCCTCCTTCTCTTGTTTACGCTTCGCCTTCTCCTCCTTCTTTCTGTTCTCTGCATCGATATGTTCCTTGACGGAGCCGATTGTCGTGGCTAAATCCTCGATCTGTTGTCGAAGAGCTGGATCCTCTGATGTCGCTCTCGCCTCTCGAAGACATCCTTGTCGCTTAGGAGAGAAGGAACGCCCACGCTGCACCGCGCTCCTTGTATTGCCCTCGCCCCCTAGCTTCGAGCACTGATTCCGGTAATGCCCCGGTTCTCCACATTCGTAGCAGACAGGTGTAAAACGCCTAGGGGGTGGATCGCGCCCCCATTCTTGATGGTTGGAGCTCCCATACTCCATCGTTCGTTCTCGTCTGTATTCCCGCCTTGTATCTCGTCCACCATCATAGCCGCTCTCTCGGTTACGATCAGAGTATTGTTCTCGGGAATGTTCCCGCCCGAAGTCACGTCCGCCCGAACTCCCCATGATCAACCCAGCTGCCCGCTTGACGTCCCCGAACTCCTCTCGCCTGAAGCCTCCGACTCACTCGAGCCTAGAGGCTCTTGACCGCCAATCTTCACGTGGACTCCAAAGTCAAATGTAGACCAAAAACGTTGTCGAACGCCGAATAGCAAAATAACATCGCATAGGCAAATCGAATTCGCCAGTTAATCATGCTCACACACTCCCAACCATCGTTTCTGGGTTGGTTCACATGCGCCTTCAATAGGTGATTACTGATATTGGATGATGATGACACACATCATACGTACATAGTGAGCAAAAACAACACATGTACAGGGTTCGAGACCCTTCGAACAGACAACAATTCGAAGAAATCCGAAAGAAATGCATAAGATTGCATATCAGAACACAAACTCTAAGCCCGGTGGGTATGGCACCCCGACCGGTTTCGACCGCCGCGACGAGGTCTCATCAGGGGGAAACCACCTACATCTTCCCTTGTCCATAAACCCGCTCACCACTAACCCTCCTACGCCGGTAGTCCCCGAGGCATCCTGCAAATTCTTAGCCAACCACAATTTAAAATTAAAAATAAAAAATATTTTAATAAAAAACACAAAAAATAATATATTAGTCTATGTAGGAGATAACATATCAAAGTTAATGTATTCATGAATAGTACAACATGTATGCGTATTTGAGAAACCCCCGAATAGGTTTGTCCTGCTACATACCTTAAAGAACTATAAATATATGATTTTTTTAGGTAAACAAAAAAATGAGTTATTTATGTTCCTCAACAATCGGTGCTTTGCAAAGTAGTGATTTTTTGTAACAAAACTTGTTTTCTCCTCACCACTTATAGTAGTTCCGAAAAATTATTTTTCTATTATTTTTTTGCGAGTAATGTATTTCACATAGAATTTTGTTCATGTAGGAGGCCTGTAAAATGTACTATCAGAATCTTTAAAAAATTTAGTTCAAACCTAACAATGATTTTTGTTAAGTTATCACGAATCCTATGTTTTATCTGATTCTTAAAGCTATATGATTGAACTCGGACCTTGATGATCGTCGGACCTTGATGATCGTTTAAAGCATCATTAAGACTATACCGAATTGTGTAAAGCATGAATATAAGATTATTAATTTAAATAATCATTTTTTATAAGACTATACCGAATGTAATCAAAGTATGAAAGTGTCCACTTGAGGGATATCAAACTCCTCGAATTACAGTATTATATAAAGAGTGGTAGAACTACTTATTCCCACTATGGTAAATATGTATGACTGGGTATGAATAAATGTATGTGGGAATGGATTATATATATTCCAAGTGACGTATTATTGTATTTTTTCTTCTTTTTTATAACTTGTTATGTATACATACATATTTATTGATTGTTTGTTGACTTTTTGTGTCTGACTTGATATATTTATGAATTGTTTTCCTCAATAAGGGTAGAAAGTCATATGAAATCCACATTCGGCATGGAACCGAAGGTGAATGGACTGACCAGTCTTTGAAAGAAAAAAATTATTTCAAGGTAGGTCAACATTTAGAACTTTTCCTTTGAGGAATTGCAATGTTGATTGATATTTTTGCATGAGAGGCTTGAAGAGGGTATAATTAAGTCCTAGAGGCAGTAGTGAGACTTACGCCGTAACAATGTTCGTGGTCCACAGTGGGTGTTGTCATTTTTCCTTCTACAGGATAAATGACTACGCTATCGTCAAAAGGGAGGAAGGTGTTCAAAGCTTGGTTATAATTCTAACGGTGAGTGAGACGGTTATTTTTTAGCGAGAGCACGAATGGATTGGTAGCTCTAGCGTCTCTCTCATTAAGTGAGTTCACCACACCCTTAAAAGGTACGATCTTACCAACCATCCTTCAAACGATGTAAATGGGGTTGTTGTATTATACTCGATGAGGTCAGCTGGGTACAAACACTGGAATCGAAGGGAGATGTGGTGAGGATTAATCATAGAAGTAGAGTTCGGGATATGAGATATTATCTAGGTTACCGGGCCGGACGTCCGGGACCCCCCTGACCGTCCGGGATGTCCGACCGGACGTCTGGTCGGACGTCGGACCAGACAGGGCATGTCCGACCTACCGCAAAAAAAAAATAATAATAATAATAATTGAAAAAAATCATGTGGCCTCCACCTTGCATTTGGTGTATGCCACCAAATTTGTGGATCATTTGGGCCAGTAGAATAAATAATAAAAATCTTTAAAGATTCATTGCCCATCTATACCCCTCTTATCCTCACCAAAACCCCTTCTACCGCCCTCTCCACCCCCAAATACCACCCTATCAGCAAATGCTAAGAAAAATCTGAATTTTTTGTGGGGGGTCTCTAGGCCATGCGCAACACTGTCATAATTTTTTTTTTTTTTTTTTTTTTGGTACCAAAAAGACGTCGTCCGGAAATCCGGACGACGGGGGGGGGGAGACGTCCGGGGGAGACGTCCGGGGGAGACGTCCGGTGGAGACGTCCGGTCTCCGGACCATGGGTAACCTAGGATATTATCCTTTTGATTGAATTACACCACCCTTCAGCATGATACACCCCTGTTAAGCCTTGAGGAGTAGTATATGTTATGTCATCGTTATTGTTTTTTTTTAAACTTCACTGTGATTATTCTTGTAAAGTTTTAATTGTAATGATTATTTTCATTGTTAATGAGGTTACCAGTTGATATTTGTTTGAATTGGTAGGACATAATGTTTTGATATCGTATGAAATATTATTTACTTTTCTTACAGTCTCAAACATTTTTTCTGTTATCTTGAGTTATATTCCTTATTTATGGCAAGAGAACGTCATTTACATTTGTATTGTAAAGTTATGTGAAAACAGAGGGAAAACTTTGCGTATAGTCACAAGTTGCATATGATTTGTTTCTTCATCGATGATATCGATCTTGATGACATAATGTGGTTTGATTTTTTTTCGATGAGACAATTAATCATCTTTGAATGATTTCTGCTTAATACCCAGATCCGAGTATTATACACACATTCATGGAATATATTACTGATTTTACTATTATTCTAATTATCAAAGATATAACCTTGGGAGTCAGTATGACGACGATCTAAATTAAGTCTTTGTATTGAATCATTAAACTATTTTGGATCATCATATCATTAATAATTAGACAAGCATGCGCAACAGGGAGATATGACTTGAAAAAACGTTCTTTTTTTTCTTTTTGGGGTTAGTCTGAGATAAGTTATGTTGCATAGAGTACACGTACGGGGGCTTCCCATACGAAACGTACAGGTTAATTCTGTATGGGATCCGTACGGGAACCTCTACGGAAACTTGTACGTCCTGTACACCGCCGTAAGAAAAAGCAAAAAACAAAAGAACAAAAAAAACAAAGGTTCATCGCAAAAATCCGAAAAAAAAACTATGTGATGCAAAAACACAAAACAAGCAACATTTGGTTGAGCATCATCTTCAGATTCTTAATAGAATTTGAGAAAAAAAACAAAAATAATACCGGATTTAAAAATAAATAAATATAAAAAAAAAACTCGTACGGGGCCCCTAGCGTACGAGTACAAGAGTATAAATCCGTACTCGTACGAGGGTGCGTACAAGTTGCAACGTAGGAGATAAGTATGTAAGATTAAAAAAAATGAGGCTCTTTCAGAATTGTCGATGTTATGAAAGATATTTTTTTACACCAGTGGTATTGTGGAAGTCGATAATTGTGTAATTTATTTGGATTTTCATATGATCTTGCTTATCTTGAAAAATCTCCGAGACATGATATATTTTTGCATCAGTGGTATTGTGAAGTCAATAATTGCATAATTTATTTGAGTTTTCATATGATTTTGCTTGTCTTGAAAGATCCCCGACATGTCTCTGACCGATCTGTGATCGAGACGTGAAAAACATGACCCCTGAGTGACAACCCGACGATACCCCTCGTTCACTCACTACGTCGCAACCTGACGGTGCCCCACATTCAACCACTAAGATGCAACCTGCAATGATGAAAATTTATTATTGTTGATGGTTTTATAATTTTCTTTTTTTATATTGTCATGGACATCGTCCATCCACTAAATGACAAGCTGGCGAGGGAGGAATTTTTTTGCCAAAGATTTATGATTTTTTTTTTTTTATACATCGTTCATTCAGTAAGTAGCAACCTGACGAGCAGGGAATTTTTTGTCAAATATCTAGTATGAATTTGTTTGCTATATATTGAAATGAATATCGTTCATCCACTCTAGGAAGTCAGTCTGAGGGACTAAAATTGACAAGCCTATGGTAGAAAATCGGGATCGTTGGGACGTAACTCCCAGCGTGGGTTGCTAACCAAGAATAACGAAGCAGGTGACCTTTTTATTTTGGCCTAGAGGTGAAACCTGAAAGGCGGCCACCCTACTGAAGGATTCTATGTCCAGCATAGGGGCGGGCCGAAGATGTTTCGCGGACTTCGATTAGTTAACGATATTTCTTTTTTTGTTGTTTATAAATATGATAGTATGAAGTCTCAGGTGAATGGACCATGTCTTATTAATGTCTTCAATCGATGCTATGACGAGAATTTGGTATTAGAGAAGAAGAACGAAGGTAGCTGCTAGGATTTTCTTGCATGTGTTCTAAAGATCTTTGGTGGAAGGACTGGGGTGTTGTGCTTCCCGCTGATGAAAAATCAAAGGGATGATGTTAATGGTAATCTCAAATTCCAAAATATCCAGGATTTTGTGTCCTTTACTAGTCGCTAACAAAAGATGGTGGTGATTATTTTATTTTTGCATCATGCTAAATTGTACTCGTTGGTTGAGGGTATGGTGTTTCACTATTTCCTTTTTTGTTCGCCCTCAAGTGTGAGTTATGGACAAGTGGTTATCGTGATGACTTTTTTTCTTTGATCGTGCACTGATCAGTTTTTGGAACAAATGTGGAGGATTGTGGAGAGAGTGGATACCCGTTCTTACTAGTAAGTGGAGCCAGTTTCTGGGTGGCCGGATGATGACCCCCATGTTTAGGGGGTATTCTTTTGGTTTGTTTATGTTCCAAGTTTCAGCCTTGTTGTTGCTAGTGTTTGGTTTCTGAGCATGGTTTCGAGCCCGTTACCTCGGCGAGGTTTTCGTTTGTTTTTTCAGTTGTGCCCGTACTTGGCTGTAATGGGAGGTCGTTAAGCTTGGGCGAACCTGCACTTGGCCGTGGTGTGAGGCTTCTGGGTATGGCTTCTAGCCCACTACCTCTGGGATGTTGTGATTTTGGTTGAACCAGTTCTAGTGAGAGGCTTCTTTTGTGCTTGAACTTGGGCGTGGTGTGAATTTTTTTTAGCATGAGCGAACCGGCCCTTGGTCGTGGTTTGAGGTTTTTGGGTGACACTGTGGCTTCGAGCCCAGTACTTCTAGATGTTGTGGCTTAGGTTGAACTGGTGTTTGGCAGTGGTATGAGGTTTCTAAAAGATACTTGATAGCGCTAGATATTATTTTTCCTCGCTTCCCATTCTTGGTTCTTATGTGTAGTATGTTTTGTTCCTTCGGTTTGTGTTTGTTTCTGTAAGGGTTTGATCTACCTGCGTGTGGGATGAAAAAGTGAGTCGTGACTGTTTTCCTTGGAAGTTGGAAGTGACCGGTTGAAACCAGTAGTATGTCAGTCAGTCTATTATTTGGTAGGGTATATATAGATTGTCTAGTCAGGTGTTCTTCAGCCGACTTTTTTTAGACCCTTGAAGAGTTCTAGTGGGCGGCAAGCCGAAACCGGCCGGGTTGTAACGCCGCGTGGGAACTTCAGTTTCCGCCATTTCTCAGCTTGGTAAGCCCAGAAACCGACCTCTACAACAACCTGGACTTTCTTTAAAAAAA